AAGTCACCAGAAAGCACCTGCACTTTCTGCCAGTAACCATAGCCTCTTAGGCAGCTGGTGCCTTCTCGGTTGCACTGTACAGCTACTGGCACAACTGCTGTAGTGAATCCACCAAAAGCTTCATGCATGGGGATGGGATGTGGCAATTGCTGTCTACCAGTAATACTTCTGCTGCCAGAAGGCTTGTAATATAAATAAGCCCTTATATATCTTTATGCATCAGATATATTACCTCTATGGCTAGAGACAGAAAAAAAGGCCTGGCTCTGCTTAATACTTTTTTATATAGTGCTGACAAGATGAAAAACCTTAAGCTGAGTATAGATTACTTTTAAGTGCATATATGGCAGGAGCTGTAAAATGTAGGATCAGGTCTATTTTAGGTATATGTAATAACTATATACATACATGTACAGCTGCACCTATAGAACATATAATCCTATATATGCATAAGGTGTATACAAAATGAACCTCATCCTCCATTCCTTGCACACCCAAAAGTCTCACTAACAACTTGACCAGAAGGAACATTCCCACTGTTCATCGAAGCACATTCTTTAATGTATATTTGTGTTACAGCCCAGTTGTTGATCTCTCTCATTTATCACTAGTCTGCTTGTGTATGTTCCACGTACAATTAAAGGCAGTGAAACACGAGTGGACATTTCCCATCCAGTTAATACTTTCCATGCTTATGCAAAATAGGAGCAGGGAGAAATCCTGTATTTAAGGTTAGCTGTTATTAATTCATTCACCAGCAGATAGCACTGTTTACCTGTCAATAAACTAAAATTATCTTCAAATTCAGGAAACTCACAACAACTACAAAAACTTATTTACTATTATTTTGGATGTTATTGAGTCTAGGCAAGGTCTTTACAGTGAGACAGAGCTACAAGAATGGAGATCATTTGTGTGTGGGGAGGGGATGCTTCCTAATCATGTCTGAGGGAAGGATTGTCTCCTCATTTCATCTTCCTTTGTAATTCAGCAGCTGAAGTAGACAGAGGCCCAAGGCATGAGGCAGACAAATGAACAGTCTGCCTGTAATGAAGACAGTAGGAACTGAAAGTCAGGGTGCAAAAGGAAAAGCAAAAGGGCAGTCTCCTCTGTGTTAAAATACTGCCCAGAAAGGATGCCAAGAAATGTTCCAATGGGAAAGAAGGCAGTTTCCAACTGAGATCAATCCTTTTCTGTTTCTTCTCCAGGTTGTACTGCTTTCTCTGATGAACCTTTAATTCAAGTTAATGTCATTATTTTTTCACAGTTAAGTGTTCATGCATGGATTATACAGTGACTTGACTATTCATTTAGACTGGCTGAACAACCCTGCACAGGATGGTGATACTGAAAAATGAGAAGAACTATCCCTCTACCAAAGGATTTTCTTTTCTTTAGCTGCCAACACAGGCATATAATTCATGATGGCTCTAAAGATGTTAGAGCTTCTTTAGCACTGGAGAAATTTTGCTTGGTGAGTGATGACTAGATCTACCTAACTGATCAGAGTGGATAGCTGAGAATAAATTGCCAGGGCTATGATCATGGCAGAGAAAGAGACCAGGAGAGTAGTGCTCTTTGGTAAGGAAGAAGCAACGCCAAAGGAGAAGTAAGGAAGTTGGAAGAATTCAGAGATGTTTACCAGTGTAAGACCACAGGAACCAGATGCTAGGAGAGAGTCAAAGCTGGTAGCTAGTGAGATGAATTTTGCAGGGAGAGGAGGGGCAACTGACTTTTTATTGTAATTAAAGTACTCTGTAATTACATTAGCAGAGTTTATGGAAGCAAGAAAAAAGGAAATGTAGGGAGGGCTGAGAGTAGCAGACTGGCCACTGAAGGACTGGAAAAGGCTAGCTGGAAGGAAAGGTAAGGTAACCACAGGAGATGAAGGATGTGGGAACCCAGACAGTAAAAAATCAAAGATGAAATCTTTGGAGCCATCGCAGTGCCAAGTTGTCAGCTACAGCTCAGTGACCAAACTGGGTCAGCAATAGCTCGTGGCCAGCTGTGTCAAAGCAGTGAAATAGCATGAGCACTGATGTATGGCTTTGACCTCTGAGTAAAGGGTAACGGCCAGGGTTCCAGCAAGACAGCAGATATCAGATGCTCTTGGAGCTTGGTTGCACTGCTTTCTCAATGATTGTGTCTAAAAATAGAAGGACAAGGGGTAGTTGGAGAGGTTTCATCCACTGTTTTAGTTTTTGGAGGACTTGGCAGATTACTGTGCTGTCAGCGGGGTCGGCAGGATAACCTCCCTGGAAAAGGGGTTGATAATTTGTGCCTTACACAAGCCAGGAAGAATACAGGTCTTTCTCAAGTGGTGGTTTAGATATTCCATAGGACTGCTTGTACTCCTTTATGGCTCACTCCTGCCATCATGCCTCCATGCTTTTGCAGCACAAGTCAGAACACAGTGTTATTTCACCAAGACCACAAGACATTTAAAGAAAGATCTTGTCAGTCTGCTTGCAAGGTTGCAGCAGAGTCTGATAACTACCTTGTCTATCTAATGCAGAATTCTTGCTCCTTCCCTTAGATCCATCTCTCAAAGTTTTGGCACTTGTTTCCAAGGTCCCAATAATCCTCAAGAAACATAAGGAATGCAGAGAACAGGATGTTGAATGTATGGCTTTGCCTGGATGGCAGTGTCGAGTGACATCATTGTAACTGATTGCCAATTAATTCAGATGGAGCAATATGACTGCAGTGTAGACACTCACAAGCATTTGTTCCTTGCTTGGGTTCACCCTGGGTTGAATCCATGTCCAGGAAGAAAAATTTATGAATAAAGATTTTTTAAGTCTCTATTTACCCTAATTTTAGTTGTCTTGTGAACGAAGCCTGTTTTATAGACAAACCCTATAATTTCATATTTGTTCTTTCCTGCCTTTCACAAGCCAGGAAGGGTATAGATTTTCCATTTTCCATAGTTCTGGCACTGGTGATTTTGGGCAGAAACAGCTTATGTTCTGTTCATACAGACAGGGAGTGGATATTCAGACAATGAGATGAACACTCAAACATTGACTTTCATTGTTTCCAATTACTTTATTCCAGATTATTGGTGCCAGATGTTGTAAAGCAGCTTCTGAATAACTGTCCTGATATGTATTGTCCTTAACATTTTTATTTATTTAGAAATGCAATAGGTTTACATAAGTTTTGAACCATCCCAACAAAATGTATTCATGATTCTCATCTGCAGTCATGGTATGTAAGAGTTGTTGCTTTTTGTTGGCTATTTCTAGATCTGGAGGGAGTGCCTGCCATTCTTTGCCAAGTTAAGAGAACAGGGCAAATGAACTAAAAGGCTTGTAATGAGAAGTGTTTGGAAGGTTTGAAAGAACCAAATATGATGGAGAAGTAACAAGATGCTCAGGTGAAGTTTTGGATGGAGGAGCAATATTCTCTTGGCGGTATTTCTCCTGGCTTTGTCCTTATTGCAAAAAGTTCCATTTTTACTCTGTGATGGGAATGTCGGACTGGAGAGGAATGTAGAACAGGGTCCAGTCCCTCCTGTTCACTGGCAACCTGGTTTTCAAATTGAGTCCATAAGGATATCTACTTCGGTCCCACTCACCTGCCACAGCACAGAGCACCCTCAAAAACCTAACGTGGGCTAGCGAGCAGGAGTGGGAAGGAGATGGATCATGTCCTGTCACTGCAGTGGCAGGTGCTTAGATTACAAGGTGGAGACAGAGGACTGTATTTAGCTATCTTGATTTGAAATGCTAGTGCGGGCTGTGGAGGTGCCTGCCTTCACCCAGATCATGCTAGTGAGAAGGTGGCAATGCAGTTTTTACCTTAAAATGTAAAACTACAGTGCCTTATCGCTGTAGTTGAGATGTCTGTCTCCAGTTAGCTATCTCATACCTATTTGCATAGGAAAAAATCTGACTTTATTCTGATTTTTCTGTGAAAGGTTTCTCTGGGTTGCCTCCACAAATTAATTCTATTGGCAATGTTTTATTGATGTTTATTTGTCATTTCTACTTTCTCACTGAGGGAACATGACATGCCTATTACCAAGGTCTTCAGCGGTCAACCTGCTTTTATCTAATAGATTAAATGACTATAGGAAGGTGTCATTTTTATAATAATCCACCCAAATGACAGTAATCTACGCCCTCTTTTTACATGAAAGAGAACATCCACCTGGGTTTTTATTGCACTGTAAGATGCCTTAACTTCCATCATTAGCTGGTTGGCCTCAGCTGTTTTGCCTGTCCCAAGAAAAGAAGAGTGACTAGGCTCAGCTTTAAGTTAAGCAAGTAATGAAGAGAGATGCTGGCAGATCTGGGTACATATGATGAGATTGTTCCCCTACAAGCAAAGCTGGTTGCCAATATGTAGAAACAGATGCCTCATTAGTTGGTATGTCTCCAGCCTCATTGGTGGCAACATTGCAAAACATCTTGACTGGGAGGTTTGTATTGTGTCAATGAAGTTTGTTCTGTTTTGCTTTATTAATAGCAGGAAGTGTAAACTGATATCGAGATACAAGACCATATCGTTGCAGCTTACCAATCCAATGTCACATGTGCAGCTGCTGCTCTGAGATTTCTTTTCTTGCCTTCATTTCTCATCCCTAGAAGTGATCTTCCCTGGCTAGTGACGGTGATGTTATGATTTGGCCCAATGACGAAATCAGAAGTTTTCTCCAGAAGTCAATGAAACCCCGGTGCTTTTCCCTTTGGTGCCAAAGGGAGTGTAGCTCATTCTCTAGCTAGAGAATGAATTCTCTCACTAGAATCTGCAAATAGGCACTCAGCCCTTTGCCCTAGGTTGTCCACTTGTTACAAGCTGTACAGCTGTGATAGGGAAGCCCATATTTTCTCTTTATTTCTGGGCTCCAGCTTTAAGATTCTCAGTAACAAAGCAGCCATCTGCTCCAGCCTGCAACATCCGCTTAACTACAGCATGTGTTTTGATATGTGCAAGCTGATTAAAGGCAGGTGACTTAGCAGCATTTTGGGCATGGAGACAAGAAGCTGAGGGACATGAGTCAGCAAAGGAAGGTTCAGCCGAACAAAGCCGTCATCAGGCGGGTGGTGGTAGAGAGAGAAGTGAGATGCTAATTGAATGGATCAGAGAACATTCAAACCATGGATGACTGCAAGATCAAGAAAGGAAAGAGGAGATATTTCTGTTGAGGAATGGCCATCAGTTTGGTGGGAAAGGTTGGGCCATATCATTTGGAAACCGGGGCCGGGAATGGGTTAGAGGAAACAGTTAGTTGCTCATTCTGTTTATAAAAATAATTCTGGACTTACCAAGAAATACTCCTACTGCAACTAAAACAGTCATGACTTGATTAGGAGACCCTGATGCACTCCAGATTGTATTCATTTATTGAAGCTGAATAAATAATGCGGTGATTCATTCCTGGTGTAAGAGAGTCGATTTCAGCAAGTTGGCATCAGGGACAAGCTTGGCCCATGATCTGTAAGTTGGATTTACAAAGAGTTTGGCTTTAATAAAAGGACGATGGAGGCTGGAATAGGGATTTCTCCAGGAGCAGTGATGTGTGACGTATTTAAAATCTGCTCTGGAGTTCTCGGGAGGATTCTGCAGTGTAAGAGGAGGATGGAGAGACTTGGTCTGTAAGTGGGGCTCGAGCCAGCATCTCAGATGAAAAAATGATACTACTTCAGGTACAGCTAAGGGGAGACATGGACCACTGTACAACTGTACAACCAATGGTGCCCTCAGGTGGAAAGGGATGCTATCTGCACTTGGAACAGGACTTTTTGCTGGCAAGGTCAAAGGGATATAAAATCTCTCTTGGTTATATGGGTGTTTTTTCTGTATAAACTTGCTAATTGAGTTGTAAAATAAAACTGCAGCCTTTCCTCTCCAATTTCTGCTGCAGCAGTGTGTTAATTTGGGTTTTGGAAGGGGGCTGGTAGAAGGTGGCAACTTGCCAATGTGAAGTTATGCACAAAACGTTTGCACTCCTAGCAAAGGCAAGAAAGCTGTTCTGTCCGAGGAGTGGGGAAGGGCTGGAGGGTGAGAGGCTTCATTTTGGGATCCTCAGGGCCACTGCAGCTCTAGAAGGTCCTGCACCTGGGCTGGACTGGGCTGATGGAAATTCAAGAAAGCCCAAAAGGGTTTAGACAACGCTGCAATGCAGAACAGATGGAAACTGCTGTGCCTTTGCTCCTCTGATAGTCTTGGTTTAATAGAGAGGACAGACTGCTGGATTTATAACGTGCATCCCTTCACTTAGTACAGTCAGGATTTGTTCCTTAGTTATATGTAGGAAAGCTCTTAGGGCTTGATTCTCATTTTCACTGGCTTTGCAGCAGTGCTGCTCCACTGACATCAGTGGGGACCCTCCTGATTTATGCTGGTGTGAATGAAGAATGAAATGATTTGCACCAGATCTCCAGCAGGTGAAAATCTCTCCAGATGGCACCATTGGAACAGCTATGCTGATTTACACCAGCTGGGGGACTTGGCCCTTTTATGTCTAGTGCTCACATCTTTGCAGGGGAGGAAAGAAGAGAGATCTAGTCTCCCACTGCCTGTAACCTGATTTAAATCTTTTTTTTTTTCAAGAAAAACAAACCGGGGATCCAACAGCCGGGAGCTTCAAGCTCTTTACATTCAGAGAGTCCCTGGCGGGTGGATTGTACTAATACTGCAGAGGCAACTCAGTGTGGCAAAATGGGGCTTGGAGACAAAATAAACACAGCTCAGCCTTGAAACCTGAAGGGAGCCAGTTCCTTAGGGACTGACACTGTTTTCAAGGGAAGGAGCTGGGACAGGCAGGTCCAAGCATAGGCAGCTTTCAACTCATAAGAACTGCCATGCATGGGGCCAGGCCATAGTTGCATCCTACTCTGTCTCCTGTGGCACAGGGAGCAATTAGTTGGTATGTCCCCAGTGGTCTTCCTTCTTAAGGGGGGCTTATAGATTGTGTGATGGGCAAGAGCCCATGACATCCGGGCACATCAAATAGGTGTGTGTCACAGGGTGGCAGGGAGCAGATGCTGGAAGGGAGAGTGATTAGGGACATAACTTGTAGCTGTGTTGGTCTAAAAAGCAGAGGCAGACAAAACTCTTGGGCTAGAGGCCATATCGTTGATTAGACAACTAAATAGTAGCAAATAAATAAATCTTTTTGCAAGCTTTTGGGTCCAAACACCCTTCCTCGGGCAGAGGAGAACTCAAAGATTGTAAAGGTCTCCCAGGTAGAAAAGAAACTTCATGTTGCAGAGGGGAGGTAAAGGATGACCTGGGCTCCCCCTGCCCTTCCCCTCGTTCTCTCTCGCAACCTCCAGCAGTTGAAGTGTAGGGAGCTGTGAGCCTGCCCCTAACCCCCGTCCCCCTCAGAAGGTGCTGAGGCTCACCTGAAACCTCTTCAACAACCAAGGCCATGGTGGGTGCAGAGGCAGAGAGGAGCGGGGCTGGCAGCCGCCGCGGGGACCCGCTGCGGGCGCGCCCCGGCGGGGCCCCGCGGGTCCCAGCCGCCGGCTCAAGGCAGGGTCCGGGCAGCAGAGGCGGCCGGCACGTGCGAGCGGGAACGGGTGAGGCTGGGAGGGAAGCAGCGCCCGCCCCGGCTCGGCGCGGCCCCGG